CAAGAGTGTCCCACAAGAGTGTCCCACAAGAGTGTCCCACAAGAGTGCCCTACAAGAGTGTCCCACAAGAGTGTCCCACAAGAGTGTCCCACAGGAGTGTCCCACAAGAGTGTCCCACAGGAGTGTCCCACAAGAGTGTCCCACAAGAGTGTCCTACAAGAGTGTCCCACAAGAGTTTCCTACAAGAGTGTCCCGTATGAGTGTCCCACAAGAGTGTCCCACAAGAGTGTCCCACAAGAGTGTCCTGCAAGAGTGTCCCACAAGAGTGTCCCACAAGAGTGTCCTGCAAGAGTGTCCCACAAGAGTGTCCCTTAGGAGTGTCCCACAAGAGTGTCCCGCAACAGTGTCCCGCAAGAGTGTCTCACAAGAGTGTCCCTTAGGAGTGTCCCGCAAGAGTGTCCCGCAACAGTGTCCCACAAGAGTGTGTCCTACAAGAGTGTGTCCTACAAGAGTTTCCTACATTAGTGTGCCACAAGAGTGCCCCACAAGAGTGCCCCACAAGAGTGTCCCACAAGAGTGTCCTACAAGAGTGTCATTTGGACATATGTAGCTTTTGGAACGTGTTGGCATTCGGGTTCGTGGGCTCCATCTTGTTGCACATCTGTCGTGACGAATCATGCCAAGGCTGGGATGTCGAGGTGCCGAACGAGAAACAAAGATCTTAAGACTGGCTAAACCAGCCTGAGACCAGTTTTTGGGGCTGAGTTTTTTTACAGTTTTGTTATGGTGTTGATATGGTTGGAGGTTATGATTTTGATATGGTGTGAAAATGTGGTTGCGGTTTTGGTTATGATTTTGTTATGATTGAGAAAGGTTCCCTTGTGGGGGGAGGAAGGCTCGGGGTGGCTGGACCATACGAAATCCATAAGAAAATCATATTCAAACCAGTATCAAACCCATATCAACAAATCATATCAAAACCATAACAAAATCATGAGCAAAAAACCACTAACTTGAGAAGCCATAACAAAACCATAACCGCAAATCACATCCAAACCATAACCAAACCCCCAAAAAAACTATTTTACATACATGCTTCTGTCGCACCTTGGCCCGAACCCTACCAGGCCCACCACTTTCAACGAAAGTGAAACGGGGTCGGCATTTAGTACCAAGCCAAGCTCCAAACACCAACTGTTGGACCTATCACCAAAAACTCAATGGTTACTGAAAAAATCTCACCTTCACCTGATCCCATCTTCCTTCTCCGCCGCACAGTCTCCAAGAAGCCCAACCGTGGTGGTCTCATTGGGACACGCCTTGCAGCTGCTCTGGCCGAGCGTATCTTGATATCTTCCGAAGCCGCACCGCTTGCAGGAGCTGCTTCCCGTGTCATCCTGATACTCGCCCTTCAGGCATAAGTCGCACTGCGTCGCCGCCTCCGAGACCTGGCGAGAAGGAAGGAAGGAGTCGCCGGATGAAGAAAGAAGTGAGGACGAAAGCACAGACCTGTACAGTGCCGTTCCTGCCGTGCAAAGAAAGGGTCGAACGCAGAACACGTAGTTCCAAGGCTTGAAACGGAGTCTTTGCGGCACAACATCATGGGTTTCTTCGTCTGCACCGCGCCTGGTAGGAACCTTGGGGGCATGACTGACACACGTAGGTGCTGCCGTTCAAATCCTGGAGTTCCCGTTCATGCTCGCGGTCCGCGCCACACCGATCGAAAAGCTAAATGCGAAAAGCTGTAGACTTCAACCATGGGTAGACATCCAACCCGTCTGAAGGACTCCTGTTTTCCTTTGAGTGCAAAAGGGTCTCAGTCGAAAGATCAACGCCACACACATTGGGTTGTCTAGACCGTTTGTGCTTTCTGCTCATGGTAGATATCCATTGACGCTTGGAAGCTAAACAGTTGACGCTCGAATGACGAATCGACACTGCCCGTTTCCATCAGTGCTAATTAGTATGCTGAGAATATGCATGTAAAGTGTGCGGATGAACCCTGCTATAGTGTTTGTTTGTAGCGTCTACTTCTGCCAAACATCCCGAAATCTGAAAGAATTCTCAGCCCTAGTTCTCCCAAAATTGTTGAAGCAATGTCAGTACACATGTTTGAACAGCTTCAACTGAAAGTCTGTCCACACCAACATTCCCGCGGGCACCCTCACATCTCTGCTCCTTCATTGGCTCCGAGTAAGAGCCGGGGGAGCAGACTTCGCATTTCAGGTTGTCCGGATTGGCACGACTATCCACAAATTTCTCCTCGGGAGACGAAACCAGATTTGCAGAATTCAATCCGCTGCACCCTGGCTACGAAGAAGGCAAATGAACAAAGAGAGTCGCACAAATGTCATAATGACACCACAGCACTGCAGCGGAGTAGTGCGTGTTCGCCATAAAAACTCGATACCCCCCCCCTTTCAGCCGTTTGGAGGGGGGACGCCATGGTGGCCTGTGGAGCCCGAACCGAGTTACTAGACTCTATGAGACTCTATGTCGCAAGATTGGCACTTAGAATTGCCGGCTGAAAATTGTCTAAGATTCTCCTTGCTCATCGGGATTTCTCGGCAACTTCCAAACATCAAGCATCAAACATGGCGCAATGATTAGCCAGGTTCTGCATATCAAAAGAGATCATCTACACAAGAGTGGCCTACCAGAACAATGCACGGAGCCTACGAATGCACCTTGCTACTAGTAGCTTCTTGTTCCTAGTAGTGCCAGGAGCCCCTAGTAGCGTCCTTGCTCCTAGTAGCGATGCCCTTTGCTCCTAGTAGCTTCTTGCAACTCAGCATCTTCTTTTACATTGTAAAGTCCATACCGTGCGAAGCATTTGGTCTTGTCTGGCAGCCATTTCTGCCATCGCTCCGCGTTTGCGTGCAGCCAGTCGCACGCGACATCAAAGTATGGTTTCCCAGAATCGAGCTTCTTCGACCTAGGAATCGGTTTGCCTGGACTTTGGGGTAGGAGCAATGACGCTACTAGGGGCTCCTGGCATCGCTACTAGGAACAAGGACGCTACTAGGAGCTAATGGCATTTTGACTAGGAGCAAAGACGCTACCTGGACTTTGGGATAGTTGCATTTGTCCTTCCTACAGGCACCTTGCCAGGCCTTTGTTCAATGGACTGCAGTGGTCCTCTCCAGCTCGCCACCAACACTTCCCACATAAACGTCACAGAACAATCACCTTCACCCGGAACATGTCAACGTGGAAAGAAAAACCCTCAGTGAAGCTCGATAATTCACATCATTCCCCTTCAAACTCGTGCGCACGCAGAATGTCGAAAGCCGTGGCAGGCTGTCGATGCCGTGGATCACAACGCTGTCTATCAAATAAAAGGAGCGTTGCTGATGGTTTGACCTGCGGTCGTTCACCTGCCATGCTCACCACGGGTGTCTGAAACCCACTGACAGTCTCGTGGCATGATCTCCTCCACATCCTTGATGTCCAACGCATACGCCGACATGAACCGTTCGATGTCGGGCGCCAGAACTGCCAGGTCCTGCGACTGGGGAACCGACGAGACACGGCGTTCGGAAGAATACGACGTGGTTTTTTTCAGAGCTGCGCGCCGTGGAAAGGGATCCACACATGGGTTGCGCTCGTCTTCACATGTCATTTTTGAGCAACACATAGAGAGTCTGAGAGAAAGGTTTGATGCGTATGGGCCTACAGCCACAAAATGGATGCATATGCATGCTACTTGCTGCAGTAAATTATGGTTTCTGTCCGCGAGTTCACAAGCGTCCAATACTTCTTCTCATTGTCTTGTCAGGCTCCTACTCTCATAGTGTAGACCTGTCCCGCATGCACCACTTACCTCTCAGACCCTCGCAGAACAACATGCGGTATGATTGCAGCAAGCAACGCAAGCGTAGATGACGCCAAGTGTCAAACAGGGACGGAAAACAAACAGGGACAAGTGCTAAAATTAACCTCGAACTCCAATAATTGTGCCAGCATAGATCCCAAACAGTTTCAGCGTTACTTGTTCGGTGTCAACTCCTTGAATTCCAATGTTGGTAATAGCCTCTGTATTGGGAATTGCATTTTAGCAATTGTCTTTGGAAAACAACAGTTTTTAATTCCCGAGGTTGCATGTGCAAACACGATGGGATGCATGTCATGACAAAATTTGAGGGTGATATCAAACGTGCATTCATAGCCACATGAACACATCTCTGGACAAGGCAGTAGAGAAAGGGAAAGCAGAGTGGCGAAGCGAGGACACAGGACTCACGAGCGCCAGACAACTGGAGGACAAGAGGACAGATCCGGACACAAGGTTTGAGGGGCGCGGCCAAAGACTGTGGCCAGTGTCCTCTTTTTTTCCCTAAGAAGAGGGAATATAAACCAACAATAAACGGTTTGGGGAAAAGACTCCAAGGGAGTTGGGTGATGGGTGGACGTGGTGCGGCGATGGTGGGTTGGCGGATGAGCAAAGATAGCATGAAAAGGCAGTGAGAAGCAGTGAAGCCTGACATCTCAAACCGCAAACCAAGTCTTGCTTCGAGAAGTTGATGAAAATGACCAAGAAGAATGGGGAACCAGCTTTCATTTCTTGGCAGCTTTCAGGCTAAACTCAGGCCTCTTGAGAAGGGTTATAGACTGCATGCGGCATGAGATATTCGCAGAGCAAGCACGGCAAAGACCTACAAATAAACATTGCTGGTACCTTTCTATACATAGAAAAACTCCCTGGCCTTCGAATTTCCGGATTCATGTGGCCTTCTTTCTACAGCTCGGGTCATGTCTGAACGTTTGACACTGTGACTTGCCGTGACATAATGTGCCTGTCTGTCTCGTCCTGGCTGATATACTTGTCGATTGACATCAACTCAGCCTCGCTTCGTTTCATCTCCTTGGATTTGAAAAGCGCAGGCTTTCCCAATTCCTATCATCATAACCCACACATTTGTCTTTACAACGGGTTCTTTCGAGTGGGACAAGTAGAATACTCCTGCACTTACGAAGCAACATGGCCGGCGCCTGGATTTTAGAACTCATCTCTCACGCCTCGCACCCCGTCTCTATGAACAAAATGTTGCCTTTTCTCGGGGCACACATTTGCGGCGCCTAGTTTATGACTACCATTGCATTGCGCAATGCAACCAAGAGGGTTATACAGCACAGCTTCAGCAAGTGCGAGAATCCAATCTATCAAAATAAGCAGAAATGAACAAAACATTGATCAACACCCAATCCCATGTCTCCTTCTCCCATTCTCGTCGACTGAATGGTGGAAAACGGATTGGAATTGCATCCAACCTGACAACACACACTCTCGCTTCCGTTTCCCAAGCGCAAATTCTTTTGTCGTCTCCATGCTCCAAATGGAAAAAGGAGTCGCGCGATCCGTTTCGGATGGGTCCCACAGGTCCCGCCTGAGAAATGATGGGTCTGGGACCCACCAATAGAATATCACGGAGTACCTTGAGTTTGCGACTTGGGATGACCTGCATCAGGAACATCTAACGTACATTCCACAAGGTCCTTTGAAAGCTACTGGCTGAGAAGGCCCAAGGAAGGCGACCAAGAAAGGAAGGACATAACCAGGAAATGCTCCACTTGCACAATGTTCCAACCAAAAAATGCCTTTCATTGGGCATCCTTTTGGATTCGGCAACCCCGACCATAAGCAATGCAAGGGCACTCTGCTGGCAATGATGTATACTCGCTCCAAGTTTTGCCAACCGCCGTTGCCAGGGGAATGCTCAAAAGGGTGCCCTGCAACGTTGCAACACATTGCTGGACTGTGAGTGAGGCATGAGCGCAACGCAAGTGCTTTCGGGAAAGCACCTGCGAAGGGTCTTTCTTAAAGAACGGCTGCCAACTTCAACTGTCCAATCATCGTCATCATCATCATTATCATCCTAACCATGACCATCGACATAGCAACAGGAAAGAGTGCTGCATACTGTCACAACGCACCTACAAAGAGACAGGTGTCTGGACACAGGTGTGTACATCATCATCATCATCATCACCATCATCATCATGTATGTGAAGAGATGCAAGTGATGCAGTTGCTACAACACATCTACCTGGATACATTGTGTTTGGAAACAGGCGTGTAGATACAGGTGTTTAGTACGGTGTTGAGAAAGATACAGGTGTTCAGATACAGGAGTAGAGATACAACTGTTGACATGCACGTGAAGATGCCTACAAAGCCCACCTACACAGCTATAACTACGACATCTTCCTACTCGTCTTTTAAGATTGCCAAAACGTGTGATGGTCGAAAAAGTGGACGTTGCCAAAACGTGTAACCGTCGTCGAAAATCAAGGTTGAGGTGGCCGAAGTGTGTAACTGTCGTCGAAAAACAAGGCGGAAGTTGCCAAAGTGTGAAAACTGTCGTCGAACATCTAGTGGACGAAATCGCTTCTGCGAAGTCTGGCTCAGAACTGGAAACTTTGTGGCTTCGAGCTCTGAACTGGCAACTAGCCGCACCGTTGGGGAACGGGAAACACGCGCGTGACCGTGCGAGTATACGCGGCGCGGCGCCGATGAACGGAGCGGGATGAGTGGTAGTGGCCCTGCAAAGCCCCCTGCAAGCACTGCCAGAGGATCCTATATTTACAAGGGCGCCCTTTGGCTAGTGTCACACAAAGTGCCCTCGCAACTGTCGTGCAAACAAGCAGAAGCTCGGCGCAAGAGTTTCCCACAGGAATGCCCCGCACGATCGTCGCGCGAGAGTGTCCTGCTAGTGTCCCTGCAAGAGCGCTTTGAGGTTGTCACGTCTACTTTTTCTTGGCGTGAGCACGTGATCATCATCGACATCATCACCATCATCATCATCGTTGTTCTTTCCATATGCTCATCGAGCGACGACGAAGGCGTGGACCTGTGCCTTGCAAGTCCGCCTGGCGCCCCGAGGAGTCAATACTCCAAGCCTTGAGTCTCGAAGTCTAGCCAGTGTGGACCTCGTGGCTGCGCTGTCCGCAGCATCAAGCGCAAAATTTCAAAATTGTCGAAGGCAGAGATGCGTGTGATCCTGTGCTTCATTCGGCTTCAGCCTATGGTATGGCTGTTTGGTGGGGTGTGCCTTGGACACAAAAGCAACTGCACATCGTTCAGCCAGCCTCTCAGAAGCTTGCCATGATGGGCTATCTCCAAGTGGCGGTTGAGATCTCCAGTCTAGTAAGGCCCACCTTGGCCCTACTCCAAGCTCGCCAAAGCTCGCCATTTGTAGGGGATGTTTGAAGAGGATAGGAACATGGTCCTTGGTGTGTCAAAGTGAGCAGGCAGGTCGGTCAGGTACACCGGCTTTCTGGAGTGAGAGTCATTGGACCGGTCTCGAACTATGTAGGTGAGACGCAACGAAGCGTCGTCTTCCAGTCACCTCCCAAGACGAGCGCATTGCGTAATGGAAGTCCTGAGAGAAGGTGTTCAATAGACTCCCTGGTCGCGCCGGCGTATGGGTCATTGGACCAGTCTCCACTGAACCCCCACCTGGTGAATCTGCAGGAGGTCCAGGTGTTGGGACCTCGTCCATCGCTGAAGGATGTCAAACTTGAAGGCGCTAAGAGATCCAATGTTCCAGCAGAAGGCACTGAACCTGTTGGCTCTGACCTTGGAGGGCGGTGCTTGGTCGGTCTTGGGAGGGTCCATGGGTCTCTGTGCAGGAGGAGGGTCGAGCTTGGAGATCCCAAACATAGAGGCAGAGTAGAGCCTCCCCCTGTACCATGTGTGACCATGGAGCTGTGCCCTTTTGAGTGCACGAAAACCTTCGTGCCAGGGACTTGGGACCCTGGAAAGGCCCAGTGGGTGGAGTGCCAATCCTCGAGGGCCAAGCACTTTGCCTGCAGGTAGAAGTAGGGACCTGGTAGTGCACAAATTTTATCAAGTGAATGAAGTTGGAGGCCAAAATGTCCAAAAAGGTGAGGAAGTAGTGCAAGCAAGTGCCGAGGCGGTCCACCTGGTTGTAGGGGGCTCATACTTGAAGATCTGCAAATAGGCTAGCGTTGTGCCGGTAATCGAGCTCGTTGAGAAACAGGTTGTAGGACTTTAGGAGGTCCATGGGGCGCTAATCCACATTACCGCACTAGCCCTGCAGCAAAGCGGGTTCAAGGGCCTGAGCACTAGTAGCCCTTATCATCATCATCATCATCATCATCGTCATCATCGTCATCATCATCATCATCATCATCATCATCATCATCTCCCTTGTCATCTCCTACTGCGCTTTCGGGCCGGCCTGTTAACTAGTTTCGACAGGGCTTGCTATAGTTCAGTTGCGATTGAGGGAACGTGGATATTGCAAGAAGGCGAGTTTGGAGAGGGAAGAGGTTGGGTAATGTTGTCTTCGGCTGGCCCCCTAAAGCACCAAAGGAGACAAAACCATCTCACCAACAGCGGAGTAACCCACCTGATAGACATAACATTTGAGGGCCCTGCCCGTCACAAACATCAGGAAGCCAGCCACTGGAGATGCCTTCAAGAAGACAGCCCGAAAAGCGCCCTGTGACAAGCGGTAAGTATGATTGTGAAGCTACATCAGGTCGACAAATCATGACTGAATGGCACGGGGTGGCTGATCCCAGCCCATTCCGATGGCCAACCAACATCTTATCATCCTAGACCCTATAACTCCTACAATGCCTAATTGGGAATGCGAGAAACTGCGCTTGGGGCATTCTTGGTTAACTAGACAGTGTTTAGGTGTAGAGCTACTCTGGCGTAAGGTATGCTTGCATTAGGATGAAACAGTACAGTACAGTAAGAGAGTTGTGAGATAGTGAGAAAGAAAGCGAAGGAGAGAGGGTGAGAAAAGAATGAATCTGTGATTACTTTCTCTTTCGAGCAGTATTACTTGGGAACATGTGATTTTAGCCCCCCAGACCTACTAAAGGCTTCGGTTGGACAAGAGGCCTGCGTTGTTTTTTCAAAGAGAAGAGTGCCCATCAGGGAGAGCCTGGTAAAGCTCATGGGACAAAAGTCTTTGAATCGAATAAGGTGAAAGAAGGATCGACAGGACATCTGATGAGATGCTGGAGGGAGATGAAGCCACAGAAGTGCAAAGTGGTCTTTGTGGCAATCCTTCTTCTTGTGTGGAATGAGCCGTGCAAAACGATCACCATGCAACAAGGTACAATTTAGAATGTCGGCTTCAGCAACCAATGGGACAAGGCAGGTTAAAGAGACCCGACGCGACTTTGTGTTCAAAACACTCCACTTGCACGTTCTTTGTGACATCTAATGACTAACATGAACTGTATGAACTGTTGAGCACTGCGCTTATTTATATCAGAATCGCAAATGCTTTGCACTTTTCCAGCTTTCTGGAGTCTGAGACTGCAAGCCTTCAAAGGCATGACGAGCAGCATACACACACATACATACCGGTACAGATTCATGATACACCGTATGAATTGCCGCGTGTTTATCGTTAAACACAACTTGGCCCAGTGGAACGCTTGAACGACCCCTCTTAAGCGCAACATGAAAGTCCAGCCCCCTGCCTTTTGCATCATTTCGTTGAGGGACCACCCTGTTCCACCAGTGATGACGGGGATGCAGCCGGATGAGTTGGCCCGACAAGCTGGAGCATACCAGAAATGGCCGTCGAAGCACCGGCCAATGACATCTCCATTGCCTCGCATCGCTTACGATCCTTCGAAGTGGGATGTGCACAATGCCATAAACCAACGACTGGAACTAAGTTGCGGTTTGAGCCCTTCTCGTTGCATCAAATCAAAGAGGACACGTGAAACTCTTGTTTGCAACAATTTTGGTGTGTCCGGTTTCTCCGTCGTGTTGCACGCAAGTTCTGTGTCTGCTATACCAAACAGCAAACACTCTTAACTTGCACAACGAGGACCTGCATGGTGCCTCCGCTTCTTTCAGAAAAAAGAACGCGTGTTCGAGTTGCGCGACAGTGTAACGCGTTCTCGTGTTCGAGCAACCGAAGGTGAAGAAACCGCCATTGCGCCTTGATGCGTTACACCTTCCTCATCCCCGGTCATCTCCAAGTAGTTCTTCATTTCAGGCACCTTGGCGTGGAAGATTTCCAGCTTCGTCTGTAGTCAAGATGGAAGCTGGTGTTTGGTGGGCACAAAAATGAGGCAGTGCAAACAAGAGGCATACATCAAGGTCGTCTGTGAACAGGCAAGCAACTTCGATGTGTTGATCTCCTGCTTCAACTTTGGGCCAGCCCAAACAAGCCAATGATGAAACGATGGTTTTCAACGTGTTTTTTTGTAAAAAAAACTGTCCTGAGGTTTGGTAAAATACTTTGCAGGATTTCTCCACGAGAGATTGTAGTCCTCAGAAGCTCCCTTCTGGGCGAAGGAATCACTCTTAGCCCTCAAACAGCTTCAGCAGTGGCATGTTTCTGGTTCAGTATGGATGTGCGGAGATATATGCGCAGCTGTCGCCTTCAGTTTTGGGCACTATAGACTTCAGCTTGAAAGGGAGGCATCACTTTCTTGTAGTTAGTAGAGCCAGGTTTCAATGAAACAAATCTATGTCTGAGCATCACTCAAAGGAGACAAACAAGCTTCACTCGTGTCGAAGGCAAACAGCAAAGCTCAGCTGACATTAGAAGAGCTTTGCAAGCAGCTAAGTGCATTCACCATGCAATTACTGCAACATCTTGGTTCCAAACCTCCCAATGTTCAAGTGGGCAAGTGGCGGACTGGCAAGATCGAGGGCATCGCTTAGGGTATCGCTTAGGCATCGCTAGGATTTAAACCCTTCACATCCCCGGCTGCAAAGTCTTTACCTCTAAAGTGCAAAAACCATCCATGTCATGAGAGCATGTGCGGTTTCCTGTTAGATCCAGAAGCTAAACATCAAACAAACTGTCAGGCCAAACTTGGATACTGTTCATCCTTCGTGTTCGCTTTTGGGGGGCACATCCTCCGCTGTGTTTTGACGGCTCATATATAATTGGGCAATATGTTCCGCAGAAGAATCTGCATTTCAGATACATGTTCTTCATCAATTTTTGAGGTCGCATCTGAATACATCGAAATACAGTTGATACTTATATGTCCAAATGTGAGTCACGTCCCCAAAGCATCCCTCAGGATCTCAAAGCTGTCGGGTCTTCAGGGACAATCTCGGTGCGGAGCATCCAGATCATATCCATCTTTTAAGGCCAAGGAACTCGATAAAAATCTAAGGAGATGCCTTCGGCTTGGTAGCCACGGTCCTCAGCTTGGCCCGAACAAAATCGAAGAAATGTGGCCCTTCAAATATTGGATTCAGGTCAATGCGGCCGGGGAGGGAGGTGGACGGAGGCTAGGTTGGCAGGGCCAGTCAGCGGAAAATGGCCAGCAACACACCAGCGACCAAAGTTAAAAGCCAGCACACAAGGCAGAAGCAAGCCAGGTAGCAAGAGAATCAGGATCAACATGGGGAAGTAGGAAGTGAATGAAGTAGCTGCAGTAAGCGGCTAAAATAAAGTTGATGAAAGAGGAAAATGAGGAAACCACAGCAGCAAACCAGCAACTCAGCAGCGGCAGCACCAAACCTACCAGGACTGGCATAAAGAGTTCCAGAGCAGAGCTATCTGACAACACGTCTTCCTCCAAAGCAGCTTGCAGGAGAGCAAAGGAGTATGGGTCGCTCATGAGACGCAGCCTCAACTGGTCCAATTCCTGGCCTTGTAGACAGCCACTTCGTCATCCAAGAGGTTGAGGATGGGATTACGTGATGGTGACATCACTGGTGGGTCGCCAATCATTCCAACGGGGGGGGGTAGGAAGCTAGTAGTAACAAGTGCCTCGCTAGTAGTAACAAGTGCCTTACTAGTAGTAACAAGTGCCTTACTAGTAGTAACAAGAAGCTATTAGAAACAAGTGCCTTACTAATAGTAACAAAAAAAATCCAACACCCACTTGGTGGCTCGCAAAGTCGATGCTGATCTGCCATCGGGCCAGTTCACTTCGTCCAATCAGTCCACACACGAGGATCGGTTGGAAGGCTCTGCACCATCGCGATCCGCACCCATGACAGAGTGCTGTCAAAGTTCAGAGCTCTGCGCAAACAGATTGACTCCATGTTCAAGATCAAGGAATGGAAGTCCTTGAATGGCGGCACCAAATTGGAGTTTTTGGGAGTCAAAGTGAGCCAGTTGCCAGATGAAACCATCCAGGATGCCATGGCGGGGTACATCCGATTAAGGTTCCAGAGGTCAAGGGCACTGGTCCACTTAGTGAATCAGAGCTCACCTCATACCGTCAGCTGACGCTGAGACTGCGATGGCCGGCACAGCAAACGATGCCGCGCGTGCTGTATGCCATAATTAAGCAGTTTAGCAAGGAGGGTGACCCGAGCCACGCATGAAGATTTCAAGGAGGCAGTTAAGCTACACAAGCTTTTCTTGGACGAAGCAAAGGCTCGCCGCGCCAAGCTGACGTATCCACGATTGGATGAGCGGGAGAGGTTCTTTTACCTCTTGTTCTTCGATGCCTTCCTTGGAAAGGAAGATGAAGGAGGTACTCACAGCTGGGAGCTGTGCACTTCATCACCACCGAAAGGGCACTTTGGGGACCAGCCCTGGCATCTTGGGTCGAGTTTACCACGACCAAGAGCACGCGGGTGGTGAGATCGAGCATGGTGGCTGAGTCTGCCTCAACGTCGATTTGCATCGACCGACACCTTTGCGGCTGACTGGTGCTGCAGCACCTGGCGTTTGGTGTCACTCCGGTGTTAGAGATTTGGAGGGATGAGATCAGCATCGTGAGGACTGGTCACGGACGCAAAGTCCTTGTATGATCATTTGAAGTCCACAGACCAGATCCCGACAGAGCGTCAAACGATGCTTGACCTCCTGGTGGCACGGCACCATCTCAAGAATCAAGCCTACGAGCTCTACTGGGAACCGACGCTGCCAGCATGCTGACGGACTTACAAAGGAGATGAAGAATCTTCAGTGGGAGAATTTCTGCCAGGATCGAAAGGTGTCACTCAGAGGAAACACCAGCTGGGCGCCAGCTTGAAGAACACAAGCAGAATCTCGCAAGCAGCAATGGCAGCGCCGGAAGCTGAAGCAGAAAGGACTGCGTTCCGCAACTGGCAGCGCCAGCACGAAGTCGCGACGCAACACCAACACTCTATCTAAGGGATGTGAGCAATGTAGCTTGGTGTTGTGTGTGTGCATGTTTCTGTTTCACGCGCTGACATGACAGCAGCTTGGATCCAAGCGCTTGCACTTGCGCTGTAGAGAAAAGAACCCAATGTGCGTTTCTTGGTTGCTACCATTGCACTCCCCAACTGATACTTACGATGGTTTGTGCAACACGCCTTCAACTCCACCGTTTTTTGCGACATAGCCTTGCCTTTTGCATGTTGTGATGACACACATCGAGCTCCCCTCAAAAACAACTTACGCCAGCGAAAACCCCAGCTAGAAAAAACCATTGTGGGCAGCACCGCAGCAGCAACACCCGCAGCGGCGCCAACATCCACCCGCAAGGGCAAAACACCCAGGCCCCAAAGCGCGCACAGCTCAGCGGCGGCCCGGCACCCCGCAGCACCCCATACACATCTGGCAGTGGTGCCCTGCAGCGTCGCCAGCACCTAGGCGGCCATACACGCCTCCCCAACAGTGCACGGGCATGGAAAGCAGCACCTTGTAGACGCACCAATACCCAAGCTTGTCTCTCAACAGCAATCATACGGCGCAAACAATTTTGGACATTAGACAGTAGACATTGGTGGGTGCAAGAATCGCCCTTAACAATTGAGCTAAGGGTTTTGAGGTATCCATAGAACCAAGAGCGCCAAAAAACCAACCAGTCAACTAGTTAAAGCAATTGGAAAGCTGAGAATCTTGAACGCTTCCAGCAATGTACAATGTCACGGCGCCATTGTAGCCCATACTGCCCAAGTTCCTGGCGCAAGAAAGAAGACCATTAAAGCAGGGCAGGGTTGGTTTCTTCCTTAAACATAGCCATAGGGACTTGCAAGCGTCATCACAAGGGGCGAGGGATCAAGAAAAAACCAAAATGAATCAAAAAAAACATTTAAAAACGTAAACGGACCCAAACGTGCAGAGGGAAGAGCAATATTCCATTAACGGGCGGGTGATCAACAAAAAACATAAATGCATCAAAAAATAAACATATTTCAGTGTGATCAAGAAAAAAACAAAAACAAACGGACCCAAACGTGCAGAGGGAAGAACAATCAATAATCCATTCGAAGCAGTGATCAAAATAAAAAACAAACAGTAAAATCACATGAAATGAACATGAAAATGAAAGAAAGAAGGAAGAAAGGATGAATGAGTCAATGAAGAAATGAAATGAATGACATGAAAACACTCAACAATTAAAAGCGGGAGGGGGCGCGGGGGAGGGCGCAGCGTCTCCCCCGCAATGTAACTTGCCACGACCAAAAAACAAAAATCATGGCGTTTCCCCAATGAATCTTCCTTTGATCTGGAATGGTCTCTGTGCTGGGCATCTGGGCAAAGCTTTGCAACATCGCATTTCAATTTCACAGCCTTCCTTCCTTCCATCCCGCTAGCCCTTCCTTCCTTCCTTGCTTCCTTGCTTCGTTTCTACCTACCTGCCTACCTACCTACCTTCCTTCCTTCCTCCCGCTAGCCCTTCCTTCCTTCCTTGCTTGCTTGCTTCCTCTTCCTTTCTTGCCTCGTTCCTTCTTTCCTTCCTTTGCTCGTTTCTTTCTATTTTTTTTGATGCACTTTAATTTCTATTTTGATGCGTCTCCCCATCACAAGCGCGTTTGCTTGAGTCACCTTGAGCAGTCAGCGGCTCTGTCTGTGTGTGTGTAAGCCTTGGAGTCACAGGAGGTTGTTGGCCCTTTGCATGGAGTCACCGCGCAGCGAAAACCCTCCTCGCACTGGACGCATTCTGGACGTACCTGCCTGATTGTGGCGTTAGCTACACCCCACACTAGTACTCAGGCTGCTTAGGTGAATTTGAGGTCTGCAGACACGCATTCGTCATTGCGTTGCACTTGACGTCTCCGAGCAGTTTGAAGGTCACCCTCTGAGGATGCTTGGACTGCATGCATCTATTCTATTGGGCGATTCTTCTAGCTCGCTCGCAAACAGGAGGCAGAGTTCGTCGGCAGACTTGTCTGTCGGTTCTCTTTCCTTTTCTACCCTAGTGGAGCGATTCGTCAGTCTCCCTAGACATGTGCACTCACCCGTGCGATGTGTTTTGCTTGTCAATCCAAGATCAGACATGAGCACTTGCTTATGTGTTGAGTTTTGCATGTGATGCGCTTTCAAACTGCTGTCTAGCGATGGCCTCCAACGGCCTCCAACCTAGGTGCTGCCTCGTCTATCTTCTAGCGATGGCCTCCAACCTCGGTGCTGTTTTGGCTACCTTCTAGCGATGGCCTCCACCCTAGATACGATGGCCTCCGACCTACTCTTTTGTTTTGCGCCTGGTCTCTTAGGTTTTATACCTAGGTCAGCGAGTGGCAAGCCGCCATCCACGTCGTACGCCTTATCTCGAGTGTGTGTGTGTGTGGAGCATCCAATCCAAGAAGACCGTCTTCACCCAAAAAAACCGTCGTCCGGCACAGCCCGCGACGCACAAAAAGCATCTTCACTCCTTGGAGCAGTTTGTGGATAGTCTTGCTGAACTTGGTCCCAGGTGCGGCTGTATCCTGCCAAGAAAAGCTGCTCAGACAGATAGCAAACAGTTCAGAAAGATTGCGGCTAAACTCCTCGTCAGGTGGCGTCTTGGGTTGGTTCATGTTGATCGAGTTAGGCCACCCTTCTCGGTTGGTTTTCCCACTGTTTCCCTCTTCGCTGTCTTCGCCCGAATCGAACACAGCGCGGCGCGAAAACAAAGTTTTCCTTTTTCGGTGTGCCTGGGAAAAGGCTGATGTCAGAGAAAAAGCAACTCTGTCAATGGCTCTTGTCACACGCACCCACACACCACTGGATCCAAAACCATATGGGGGGATGGCAAAACACGGATGAAACCAAGAGGATTGCCGAACAGCTCGATTCCCGTGTCGGTGGAACAACTCCTTAGCCAAAATTTTCCATTGAAACAAGCACGTGTGAAGGCCATTGCAAGGCCATTTGTGAACCAAACCACATCTGAACAAATGCGTTTCTGTGCTCCTCCTGTCCAGCCCTCCACGCTGATGTGGGCCCGTGTGATCATGTCAGGGCTGCATCCACGATCGATGCTGTCAGTTGGCCTGGTGCACCCCGCCAAGGCAAAGAAGGCATCTGGAGTTAATTGACCAAGGCCCAGCTTCTCCAGCTTGTAGCCCACTTTCTCCTGTCAGTTCTGTGCGCTGTGCACAGTCAGCGTGGCCGAGTGCGTTCGGTGAGCTTTGAAAGCCAACGACCGACGGGCGCGTTCTTGACCCGTCTCCCACTGTCACCCCGGTACATTCACCTTCCACGTCGCCCCAACATGCCCACGCCGGTTGTTCCTCTGGATCGGGTTGAAACAAAAATGCTTGGACAACCCCCGGTTGCGGTCGCAGAATCCATTTTCCACCAACCCATGGGAAAAAAACCTTACGCCAATCGCTGCTGGTTGCAGCTTTTTCCAAACTGTTCCTTTCCTGAACGAGAATTGCCACCAATTCCGCCGTGGCGTATTGAGCTGCGTAATCGTGGATCCAAAGCCCCACGGGGTACCTTTCATCGCCATTCACCAATTCCTTTCGCCTCGGACGAAGGCGAAGCGGAGCGAAGCGGAGCGAAGCGGGCGAAAACGGTGAGGACAGCGACACCCGCCAGGCGGAACGGTGAACAGGTGGGTTGAGAAAGCGATGGGAGCGCCCCGTTGGTAGCGTCCGCTCCTAGTAGCGATGCCCTTTGTTACTAGTAGTTTCTTCACCGTGCTTGCGGTAGAATCATCCTGAAGTCAAATTGTGATTGGACACTGAGTATGTGCACCGTCAGCACGCTACCCCATGAGACATCTCTTGGACGAGGAGGTTCAAGGCCTCCAGCAACGTCAAGCTCAGAAGGCTCAAAAGCTTCAGACGTCGTCCAAAGCAAAGCGCTGAACATGTTGAGTTATGCTATCTCTCGCTGGGCAAATAGCAAAGCAGCACAAAGCCTGCAGAATCTACATCCTTTGAAGTTTGTGAATCGTGGGTTTGAACGTGTTTGCATGTTCTTTGCACAGGCAAGTTTGGGCCACCTGACCTACTAAAGAAGACCTCCAAAAGCTTGGAACATACAAACCCGATTGTAGGGTTCGTTTCAGTTTTTTGAGCAAACTTTCCTTTTGTGGTGCCGTGTGACTTGTGCTTCCTTCTCATCACCTGTAGAATTTAGATCTTCTCCTACTTCGCTACAGTAAGTCTTCTCATGTTTACTTAATAGTCCTGTCCTGTGGAATGAACACACCCACATTCTACTTGGCATTCCTTGCTGTTCACCTTGTTACATAATTTGGAAAGTTTCTGTCCAACACCTTCTCCGCGCTCTTCAGCAAGTGCACCACGGGTTTCCTGAGTGGGGGCCTGCCCTGCCGTTCCTCCAAGGAAATCAAACGCGAAAAGGGCAAACAGAAACAGGAACGAAGATGAGCGGAAACAATTTACTGCCTCCCGTTTAAATATAGATGACCTAACCACATGAGGCGAGTTCTATCATCCCCTGGCGTGCTGAAAAAACCTGCAATGAAGTCCATAGCACGCACGGAGGCAAAGTTTGGAGACAGATTTCACAAGTACATGGATGGTCAAAAAAAAATCCATGCATAATTGGAATGTTCAACACGGTTTGATATACTAATTACTTTGGGTTTTCTCTTGGGTTGTTGTTGTGCACTTGACAAACGCACCCAGTGAGTATCATGTCCGAATCATTCTTCTGCTCAGTTCTTGGACCAGCTTGCCACGCCATGTGGGTGTGGATTCGGAAACAAGAGCTGCAAAAAAAACTGTGGGCGTTGGTCCATTCTTCGGTCCTTGCTCGCTTCGCTGCTCTATGTAATCAGACGAAGTCAAACTCCGAGGTGTTCGCCATTCGCACTGCAAGAAGTGCGAATGAGGTGGAAAAAACATATCCCGGCAAGAGACCCCAAACAGTGTGCGTGATAGAGGTGTAGCAGCAGAAAGTCTAGAGATCTAGACGCATTGGGGTCCAGAGAGGTGATGGTGAGTGTGAGTGAGATTGAGAGTGAGAGTGTGAGTGGGAGTGAGTGAGAGTGAAAGTGAGAGGGAGAGTGAGTGAGAGTGAGTGCGAGTGAAAGTGTGAGTGAGAGAGTGAGAGAGAAAGAGAAAGAGAGAGAGAGAGAGAGAGGATGAGAGTGAGTGTGAGAGCGAGAGTGAGAGGTGAGAGTGAGAGGTGAGAGTGCATATGAATGTGAGTGTGAGTGAAACGTGAGCGAGAGCGAGCGTGAGTGTGAGTCTGAGTGTGAGCGTGAGCGTGAGCCTGTGTGAGAGTGTGACCGTGAGCAAGAGTGAGAGTGAGAGTGAGCATCTGAGAGCGCAAAGCGCTGCCTGCCGCGAAGTCTGCACTCTGCGGTTCACAAAGTGCTGCCCCTGCCTCGAGGTTCACAAAGTGCTGTGCCTGCCACGAAGTCTGCACTTCAAGAGTCACAAAGTGGCGCGACGAAATCTGCACTTCAAGGTCCACAAAGTACTGCGCACTGCACCTACCACGATTTTGGAAAGCCCGCCACATGTAGAAAGCCACGATTCACTGCACCTGTCACGAAATCAGAGCGCCTCGAAGACCACCACCACATCCAAAGTGCTGCACCTGCCACGAAATCTGCATTTCGAAGTAAGCCGGCTCCGATCCCTTGCACCTGTCACGAAAAGTCGACTTTGCACCACCAACACGAGCGCCTGCCACGAAAAGTGACCACCATGCCCGAGAATGCGCACGGCGCCACAACGAGAGCGCAGTCGCGAGAAGCACCCGCCGCAGACATCCAGATTCTGCGACCTTGCGCAGTCGAAATGCACTTCGAGGATTTCGAGAGGCATGAATGTACTGCAAGTAGCAGCGAAATAGCCGGATCCGACCGCGCAACACCTCGATTAGACACCAGTGCTTATAACCACCACCGTAAGAACCCCTAGTGTGTCCAAACCCAAGAATTGTCAAGGCTTTCGAGAGTCGGGGTGATGCCATATTAGTTCAACCGTTCAAAGGTGGTGCTACAAGTGTGTCAACGGCCCAAAACCACACCCCTGGCACCGACTGGGAAGTGTAGCCAAACCAGACAACAAGCTCCTGATGGCCATCTTTGGGTCGCCGAGTCGCTCCGATTCCGGAATGCCATCAGGAAAGCAAAGTGAGGCCGCTCCGATGACGAAGCTGCTCAGCAAAACTCTCATCATGGCTCGTCGGAAATCACGTCTCGCGCACTTTGACGCGGTTCTAAACAGCCCACCCCAGTGTCGTGTAAGCCGACCGTCTGAGAGATCAAACACCAATCGACTGATTGAATGTCACGGTTCCCACCGGGCGATTCAAACAAACAACTACATACACCCGGAGAAACTCGAGAGAATCGGCCGTGTTGGTGTCTGTCCAACACTGAGGCCGTCACTGAGGGTTTCGTTGGTGTTTTCGAGGAAATCACCTGAAGCCGTGGGAGGCGACAGAAAGCCCATTCGAGGCTTGTCGACGGCTAAATCCCCCCAACGGCCGGATTTTTCTCAGAAGTGAAGGGAATCAGACACCGAGTTCAACCTATATTGGCATAAATAGTCTGCACTTTGCTCATCCTTTTGCCCTCTCCGGAAAGAAAAAAGGGCCCTGCGCCTGCGGCCCTGCTCATCGAGACAAAACCTCAAATTTGCCTGGCATCCTGTCCCATGATCAAATCACATCCTTTTTCAAGTCCTCCAGAAGCCTCCAACACTATATGGTTTCCCACCAAGCGTCCAAGTCTGCTTCCGACCGTCCGTTCCGCACCCAGTCTACAGCAACACAGTCAAACACCTGAACGACTCACTGACTAAGGTTCCCAAAGAAACCCGTTGCAAGAAAAAAAGATAAATAGTGGTTCTTGCTTCAAAAACTACGGCATTAGAAACCTTGCAGGAGGGTGTGGCCGCTCCACGGTTCCTTCGGTCGCGCAACATCTTCGAACCAAAGACCCGTATGAGGTCTGGACGTGACTCGTCGGGTCTCAGGTCCCGAATCCAATTCTTGCGCCGCTGGGCGGGTCCTCCCAAAAGAGCACGGCCAGGGTGGATCAGAGGCTAGGCCTGTCAACCCCAAATCGGTACGAGAAACCCTCCCGAAGAGAACAACAACCAAACATACGAATTGGTGTGAACAATATTATACTTGACTCTGAGCTTCCGCAACACCGTGGTTACAACTAAAACATGGTGGATCTGTACTGGGTCACAAAACATATTTACAGCACATGCGGGCGCCTCAAAAGGGGAACAACAACAAACCCGATGTTCCAGGACAGGACTTCACCACAAGACTGCTCGGACGGGCGCTCGCTCGCAACGTCCTCTCGGGACTGGCGTTCTCGCTGCGAAATCCAAACAAAGCTCGAGAACTCGCAAAGCTCAGGATAAAGACGTTAAACAGGTGTTTAGAGCACAAAACAACAACATCAACGGAAAAAGGTACCCCGGACGGTAAAAGCGGGCGAAAAAGGATGAAAAAGGTACATGGCCGAAGACCGCGCGGGTGGGCCACCGTTCTCGTTCCACCTCGGGCCAATGGACCCTTCCGAAAAGGCCAGCAATTGAGGTTTGCTTAGGTTTGCCTATGCCCCCGCAGATGCACTGTTTCAACAACTTGGGTTATTGAGAGTTCTTCCATCCCAATCCATTTAAAACAACAAGTCTGTGTTGTTCTTTGGAAGTCTGAACCCAAAACTGTGCCTCCGCCTGCAGGTTTGGCACATTCGAGGCATTCGAGGCTGGCTGCCTCGGCGAAAAGATGTCAAAACAGGTACATGTCCAGGTCCCGAACCAATGAGAGAAGGCGTGCGCCTGCCAGTTCCTGGATATGCTCAAGGTAGTGAAGGTGGCGCAATGAAGGAAATGAACAACATGTTCTTTCTAGTAACAAGTGCATCGCTTCTAGTAACAAGTGCATCGCTTCTAGTAACAAGAAGCTACTAGTAACAAGTGC